AACTTGTACCTTTCATGGTACTTCCGACAGTATTGGTGTTCAGTTTTTTTTATGGTTATGCATTTTATTTTTATTTAATTGGTTTGAGTTTTTAATTATTTAATCTTTGATATTAAGTTTTCAGTTTTAGTTTAATGTTGTGCATGAATTCTCTCAAGTGGGACGGCGATGATAGTATCGTTACCACAAAGGTGTTAACAAGGCATTTAGTGACTTTATTCTAGAAAATGTTGAGGAACTTGTTAGTTTAGGAACAACTCTTGAAACTTTGTTTCGTTTTGCAACTTTATTAATTGACATGTCATTTAGGTCCTTTACCACAAATGTAAGAAGCTTCTTGTTCTATTACAAATGCTATGGATGAATGGTGAATTTTGTGTATACTTGTAATTCACACTTTGTCTTTTGTTTCGTATAATTTTGTGGAAGTTCTTGAGAGGATCAAGGCACTTGTTTCTGTTGAGCACAACCAGTTCTAAATTCAAATATGCCTGTGAGTTGTGAGCATTCGTAAACCATTTTGAGCCTAAACAGTTGAATCCTTGCTTGAAAAAAAAAGAAGCAAGAGTTCAAAAATCTTGTTCTTAAAACCTTGGAGATTTTGATTCATTGTTCTTTTGCTAAAAAAAAAAGTAAGAGCATTCACTTAGGGGACGAGAACAGACAAGTTGGGGAGAATGAAAGTAAGGTGGTCAAGTTTTCACAACCATTGAGAAACCAAGCAAGCATTGAAAAGAAAATATATAAAAAAAATAATAAAAAAATAAAAAAAAAACACTCGTTTTTGCGATTACAGTGTAGAAAAAAATAAATATATATATATATGAAAATATTTGCTTGTTTGGTAGAAAAATATTGAAAAACAAAGTTAGTTGTGAAGGGTTTCAAATGAGGAACTTGTTAAACAAGTTGAAGATGTGTAAATAAGTGTAGAGTGAATGTCTCTCCTACATCGGAAATTTCGTTCAATGGCTTTAGATATGTCCCTTGTTTGTTAACCCGGCCAAGCTACAACCTTTGAAGACCTTTGTGATCTTGAACTTCCATAATTTTGTGGTGAATATGTAGATATTTTATGAATTATGTAGTATTGCATTGTTCATCATTGGAGTGAATTTTTGTCCCACGCTTGCACGCATGTTTTTGCTTCAATCCTTTTTCGAAGTGGAGTGTTAGAATGACTTGTCATGAGATTTAGTTGTTGCTTGAAGCATTGTTTAAAAGTTGTTCTTAGAATTTAGTTCTTAAACATTATCTATTGTGGAATTGTGTAATATTTTGTGACCTTGTTGTACATATTGTGTATTTGAGCCATATAGTTTCACTTGAGTTGAATTGGTCTTGAGCAAATCCTCATTTTGTTTTGAGAGGCATACTTTGCTTGAGGGCACGCAAATAGGTAGTTGGGGAGAGTTGTTAGATCCCATTTTGATTAGATATTTGGTTTCTTTTTGGTAGTATTTTCACTCAATTTTATCTAATAATGTTTGATTTCGTAGTCGAATTGGTTTAGTTTCATTTTATGCGATCCAAGCGAAGAATGTTTGTAATATTGCTGTTAGTGTGCAGGATTGACACTAATAAGAGCACTTGGGATCAAGGCAAAGCAGTTGGGAGATGTTGCAAATCAAGACATTCGCCTGGAGAGCCACAGCGAGTGCCAGCGAATGTTCGCCAGGCGAGTGCCGGCGAACTGGGGCGAATAAATCAGATTTAACTCCCAGACCCAAAGGATAGGAAGTTCGCCAGGCGAAGGTTCCAGCGAAGCTTCGCTACCATTCTCCTGGCGAAGGTGCTGGCGAAGAAGTGGTAGCTTTCCTCATGCAGATTCCAGTAGCAAAACCACCCAAAGTTCGCCTGGCGAGTGAAGCCAGCGAATGTTCGCCCGCCGAATGTTTATTCGCCTGGCGAATGCACGATTCCTAAGGGCGGTTTGCTGATCAGAGGCACTTTGAAGTGCCATGTTAAGTTGGTTCTCCGGGCGAATGAATGCCTTCGCCAGGCGAATGTGCGCAGACAGCACATCATTTTTACTTTATTTGTTGCTCTATTTAGCCCATACTTGGTACTTGAAAGAGCTTCTTCTTGAAAAATCAAAAGGAAGACATTATTGGATAGCTCTAGAACCCTAATTACTTGAGTTCTTCTTCATCTTACTATTTTTGTAATCAAGAGAAGTGGAAGCACATCCTTCATTGTTTCTTCAAAGTGGATGTTCTTCATCTTCTCCTTTCTTCTTGTTAAAGCTACCATGAAAATGTGTAGCTAAACTCATCTTTTGTCAAGGTTAGATGTAGGTGATTATTAAACTTTGTATGTGTATGGATGATCCTCATTTGTAAACTCTTGGATGATTAATATATGGTGAAAACTTTGTTTCATTTACAATCTTTTGTGTTGGTTGATGATTGAGAAATATTTTCCAACTCTAGACCTAGGTTTTCATCCTTCTCTTTTCTTGAGCTAGAGATAGTCTTGAAATGTTTTGTTCACTTATAATGTTGAACTTTAAAGTTGTCATTTGATAGATTGTGTGAGAGATCAACAATGGATCAAAATGGTAAATCTCACAATATGAGTTAGAGATAATCATATTGAGAGGATGTTGTGGATGTATTGATCATTAAAAGGAGTTTATTAAATGTTGATTGGAAATATGCATGCAAAGTGATTACCGAACCCTAACTTTGGCAATATTTATTAAAACCGTTCAAATCATTATTTTACCGCATTTATTACTCACATGCAAAAGTACCATTGTTTTAAAACCAAACACTTTGTTACTACAAAGTTACGAATTTAACAACTGTAGAAAGGCTGCAAAAATTTCATATTCCCTGTGGAGACGATAACAAAAACCCGACACTTAACCACTGTTTTAACAGGAGGTATTTCCGACATGGCAATGTTTGAAATTGTTGTTCCTCCATTAAAGACAAGTTTAAGGCTATTGGAACAAACTTTGAATGAGACATCATTAACCATTGGTTCTCCATTATAAATGGCGTAAGTGTCATGTTCCTTAAGTTGCTCAACCCACTTCTTGAAATCTCGGTTCCTCGTCACAACATGAATTTGATCACCCTGTTATATCATTTATTAGATAACAACAACAAAGTGATATAAGTGCATCAAAAGTCGCCAAGTATTACCTTTCCATCTTGTATGACAAACTCGAGATGTTGTTGGCCACTTTTCTCCTTAACAACCCAAAGATCAACAACGCGTACGTGCATTTTCCAAACTTGATTACCTTTCACCAAATCCTTGATAAAGATTGGAGGCCTTGACATATTTGAGACAAAAACTGAACAATGTATCACAATGACAAAGTAGGTCAAACATCAAATAACAGCTCAAAATAAAAGCTCACAAAAATAACAGGGCAAGAACATAGGTCACAAAAATAAAATCTGATTTTTTAAAACTCTTTCCATGACAGTAGACAAAAGCCATGAAAAATTCCATTTCTATCTCAAACATACAAACCATATTTCATAACTGTTAAAAAAACGTGAGACAATGGTGGTGGACATGTCAAATATTTCTGTCAAACTTATTTTAGACCTTGAGTTCTTTAATATGTTGTGGTGATATTTTGAACGCATGATGAAACACTAACCAAACAGAACACAAAGCATTGTTAAAAAAACACTGACCAAAGAGAAACACTAACTAAACATAGTGAAATATTGTTGATATTTTAACATGAATAAGTAAAAAAAAAACAGAACACAAATACTCATATTTTGATGATATTTCTAAAAAAACATAAAGTGATAAACACTAAAAAGATTTGTCACAAAATAAACACTAACCAATAAATAATCATTTATGATTGATAAACATTACCACATTCCAGACATATTGAATAAAACCGTGTTACATTGAACTAACCTTGCAAGAGAATGGAAGTTGGAATAATGATTTCTTGAGAATCTACTATCTAACCTTGTAACGTATGCTGAGATGTAGTGGACACAAATGTTCTTGAAGTGAAAAGTGAGAGACTTAGTGAGAAAAATGAGGTTATATCAACAAACCAGAAGATGAAACAGTAAGAGGCTTTGGAGCAAAAAGTGAAAAGTGAGAGATTTTGAAGTGGTGTCCGATGAACATAGAAACAAGGGGAAAACATTTTGTTTAAGTCCAACAAACCAGAAGATGACACGTGTGCTGTAATGAGGAGGATGGAGTGGTGAAATTGTGTGTTTTGTTAATTAGTGAAAAACCCTTTTAGTAGTGTAAAGTTTTATTGGTGAAAGGGTAAGATAGACAATTCATTCAATAGTTTAGTATTAGGTAGATACTAGATGGTGGGAAAAGAAAACCACTTTGATTTAGGGCCATAAACACAGACTCGGTTGTAAAAAGCCCAGGCCACAGAAATGCCAAACCCTAAACCCTAACTTCTGATCTATTTATTTCAGTACCGCCCCAGTCACATTCCAGATCTCCTTCCTCACCATCTTCATCACTCGTAGGTAATCTCACTCAGTTATCATTCTCTGCTTCATATTATTTTTCTGATAGTTTAATTCTGCACATTTCGAAGACTTGCGAGCTTCATGAATAGTTCCTGAGTTCAAAACATGTGCAATATCAATTATCATTTTCTCTAGATTCCGATCCTCTGTTGTTTTCTCATCCAAAGGATTTACGTTAAAATGATAACATTCAATCCATTCATTCATTTGATTTACGATTGCTACCAGTTATTTGTTCTATTGTTTAAGGTTTTTTGATTCATTTATTTCGATTAATTGTGCTTAGGACGGTCTTGTGCTGATTAGTTCATACATCAGTGCATAACAAATACCTAAGCTACATCAATCGTTGCCACCGTGATTTTTATGCGTGTTTCAATCATTTATATGTGAACAACATTTATTCATGGAGGCATACATAGTTAATTCCTGTAATCGTTTTATAACTTTTTTAGGGTTTCTGAATTTGAAATAATGATTTACTTTCTGTATTAGGATTACATTGTTACAGCAATGTCGAAGAATCCCAAGGTTTTCTTTGATATTCTTATTGGAAAAGCAAAAGCTGGGAGAGTAGTAATGGAGCTTTTTGCTGATGCTACTCCCAAAACAGCGGAAAACTTTAGAGCTCTCTGCACTGGTGAAAAGGGAATTGGACAATTAGGGAAGCCTTTACATTTCAAGGGGTCTGGTTTTCATAGGATTATTCCAGATTTTATGTGTCAGGGAGGGGATTTTACCAGAGGGAATGGGACTGGAGGAGAGTCAATTTATGGGTCAAAATTTGCAGATGAGAATTTCAATTTGAAACATACTGGACCTGGGATTCTTTCCATGGCAAATTCTGGACCTAATACTAATGGTTCACAGTTCTTTATTTGTACTACTAAGACTCAGTGGCTTGATGGAAAGCATGTTGTGTTTGGTAAAGTTGTTGATGGGTATAGTGTGGTTCAGGAGATGGAGAAGGTGGGTTCACAAAATGGTAGGACTTCAGAACCTGTTGTGATTGAAGATTGTGGACAAGTTAAGAATGAATAATAACTTTGGATGCAGAGTGTTCAAGAATGTTACAGTCTTGTGTTGTAACTTTTTTTTTTATTGTAAATTGCTATCTAATAAGTTAGATGGTTTGTGTTTGTTGAAAATTTCAAACCTACTTATAGGTTTGGAAACAATGCTGCTCTTTTATAAAATGATGAATTGCAGAGGCCTTTATAAGGTTTGGGAAAAATGCTGAAAATGTGTATGTAATTAATGTGTTTGTAATTAATGCCCATCTGAGTAGTTATGTGAAAATAATCAGTTTCATGTTAACTTAGTTAGGGGCATATATTAATTGTGTTATAATGTTAATTAGGTTTCTTTCAAGGATAGGCTTGTTGAAGTGACATATGAATTTTTTTTCTTTTGAATAATTTAATGAATGGATCACAGAAAGACAAATAGATAATTATAAAAACTAAATAATTGGGCAATCAATTACTACAAAAAAAAGCCGAAATAATTCAACATAATGGTGTCATTTCTTATAAACATGATTAAATTTTGATGGCTTAAGAGAGGGTAAAGGCAACGACTTTCTCTCTTTCTCTCTTCTAAATCACTCAATAATGTAATTTCAATGTAACTTAATTGAAATACTAGTTTGGATTTTTCCTCCCCTTATGTGATGATTCTCCTTCGTCTTTGTGGTGATTATGCTCTATTAATCTTTTCTCTTTCATCCGCCAAAACCCTAAATCTTTTCTCCTCCTTCCTTCATAAAATCGCCTACTTCACCCGTTTTGATTAACCAAAACCTTATGATATCCCTGTCACCTCAAATTTACTGAAATCTAACCCTCCGAACCAATCACATCCATCGAAATTACCTCTCTCTACTCCAACCCCTCCTTTTTACGTCTAACCTTCATGATGACTTCCTGCCATTTTGTTAACAACCACTAAATGCTCGCAATTTCAAAATCATTGTCGCCAATCAATGGCCCAAAGTGGACCAGACATGAAAATTGACCTTCATCGGAGCCTCTATCACTTAGTGATATGAATTTTCTAAGATATTGTGTTTGTGTATCAATATAGGTAAAAATGACCTTCGCCAGAGCCTCCACCTCTAAGATATTGCATTTTTGTATCAGTTATAGGTTTTGTAATCTTGATTTCTTGCTTGGTTTAGTTGTGTGTGTTGTTCTTATGTTTAGGTTGTTTTAAGATTGTATTCATGGTGTTTGATGAAATGCCTCAAAGAGGTCTGAAAGAAGAAAATTTGTTTATGAGTGAGAATGTAGCAATGGTTGTTACAAATCAGATTTTCTTTTCCACTCAAAAATGATTCCTTCCAATGTTTATGACTGAGAATCTAGCAATAGTTGTTACAAATCAGATCCTCTTTTCTACTCAACAAATGATTCCTTCCAGATGGTGAGATTAATCGACTTTGAGAATTTGTATAATCGATTTGTGCGTCACAAAGCAAAATAAATAATCTGTTTGGATAGATTTAAAAATTGTAGTTCTTAAACTCATGTATCATTGGTAATACCTTTCTTGGTTCGCTTAGTTATTAGTGTTGTTTTTAAAATGTGGATGAGAAATGTTCTAACATAATATCTTTTGTTATGGTTATATTTTCCATATTTTATCTAATGCATGATGTTGTTTATCTTTTGTTATGGTTATATCAAAACCTGCAATGCAACTCTTAGATGTTGCACATGCTCTTCCTCGGACTTAGAATATATCAAGATGTCCTCGATGAACACTACCACAAACTGATCCAAGTAAGGATGACAAATCCTATTCATATACTCCATGAACACACCAGGTGCATTAGATACACCAAATGTCATCACAATATACTCATAGTGTCCATACCTCGTCCTGAATGCAGCCTTTGGAATATCGTCAGCCTTAATGCGAATCTGATGATAGCCAGACCTCAAATCAACCTTATTGAACATACACGCACCTACCAATTGATCCATCAAATCATCAATCCTCGAAAGTGGATACTTATTCTTGATTGTCACTTTATTCAACTGTCGATAATCTACTCACAATCTCATGCTACCATCTTTCTTCTTCACCAACAATACAGGAGCACCCCACAGAGAAACACTCGGTCGAATAAACGTCTTCTCAAGCAACTCTTCCAATTGTTTCTTCAATTCTCCTAACTCAGATGCAGACATCCGATAAGGAGCCATCAACACAAGACTAGTGCCCGGTATCAAGTCCACAGTAAACTCTACCTCACGTCAGGAGGCAAGTCACTTACGTCGTCTGAAAGTACTTCTGGAAATTCCCGAACAACTGGTAACTCTACGTTCACTGCTTATCGATCAACTTGAAGCGACACACACAATGCAAATAATTGAGCCTCATCTTCTAAGAGTTCTTCAACTTGCTTAGCAGATACAAACATCAGCTCTCCACAATCGCCAAACTTTGGGAACCTCACAGTCTTGTTGTAGCAATCGATATGAACATAGTTGAACTCCAACCAGTTCATTCCAAGAATAATATCGATTTGATACAAAGGTAGACAGACTAGGTCCATCACAAAATTCTTATCATAAATAGTCAAAGAACAACTCAAACAGACTAACGCAGTAGTCATAGAACCATTAGCCGGGGTATCGATAACCATACTCCCCACCATAGAAGATAATTTCAAATTCAACCTCTTAGCACATTCAAGTGAAATAAACAAATGAGTAGCACCAGTATAAATCATAGCAATCAATTCAACATAATTAATAAAGCAAGTACCTCTGATCAAGTTACCTGTCCTGGATTCTTCCGCACCGCTCAAAGCAAATACTCTTCCATTCGTCTGAGCAACAGTAGCAGTCTTCTTCGGCTGCTGGCACTGGGTACTGATATGACTCTTCTCTTCATAGTTGAAGCAATTCGTAGCTTCATCTTTGCAGTAAAAAAATTCTATGACCTTTCTTGCCACAACGATGACATCTCAACACCCTACAAACCTCGGCACGGTGACCTTACTTGTAACAGCCCAATTTTCACTAATTAATTATTTATATTAATTAAATTATTTAAGAGGATTGTTTGATTAATGTATGATTAATTAAATGAATTAGTAGATGTTGGAGAGAATTAGAAGGGAAAGACTTATAAAGGAAAAATGGAGAGAAAGGAAAAAGATAGAAACATAAGAGAAAGAATAGAGAAAGAAGGAGGAAGAGGAGAAAAGAGAAGGAGAAAAAGAAAAAGTTGGAAAAGCTCAAGAACAACTCTCAAGCATCGATTAATCGAGGTAAGAGTGTGAAATATCATTATATTGTCAATGTCTATGATTATGTATGTTTGGGCTAGATTGTTGGTTGTTTTTCTACAACTTCTATTTTAGGGAAAATTGGATTTAATCGATAGAAACTGGAAATAAGTGATATAATTTAATTGAGGCAGGTTATACTAAGACTATGGAACTGGTTTGGTGAGAATCGGTAGGTTTTGTGAAGAGTTGAGGACTTGATGACAGTGGGAATTTTATGAGTTCGCAGACGTTCGCTAGCACCTTCGCTAGGCGAACAGGTTGCGAACATTCGCTAGCAACTGGCTGAGCGAATGAGTTAGCGAGAGGTCCCAGACTTGGACAGAATGCATTTGATCTGGTTCGCTGGTAGCGAGTGTGGTGGCGAAGGATTCGCTAGGGACTCGCTGCAGCGATGTAGGTGGCGAGCGAAGTCAGTAGCTTCTGTTTGCCTTCGTGAGTTGGTTCGCTAGGCGAATAGATAGCGAGCATTCGCTAGAGACTCGCTAGGCGAGTAAGCCAGCGAGCATGACAGCATTTTGTTTTCTTGTGATTCCATTCCATGTTGATTTCTTTATTCGATTGTGTTCAATCCTTGTTGGAAATGAGTAATTGTATACTGTGAAATATATGTTGTGGGTAGCCGTATGGCGTGAACCCTAGATTGTGGAATTGATTATGAATACATATTGTTTGTATGAGATTATATGAATAGAATGCATGAGAACATATTGTGGAAATGTGTGCATTGCTTGATAATGTATTGATGATATATGAATATGTTGTGTGTGCAATCATATTATAATTCTTGTATGATGAATCATGTGAATGCATGGGATTAAGATGCGAACGGTCTTAAGTGCATTTGGTGTTTGATTGCATATGCATCATTTAGTCAAGAGGCAATGTTTTCTAGTTTCGTAGAGACTAGTGACTTGTCCCAAACCTAGAATGGTGGGTTTGAAAGCTTAGGGAACGGGCTTTTGTTGTTATCGGTCTAGAAGGGTGGACCCGGTTTAAGTGTAAAAATCGAAAAATGATAACAAGTGTTGGTACCACATGGCATGAGTTGCATTGAGTCACATGGTTAATGTGTATTGTTGTATGAAAGTTTACCTTTATGTGAAGTATTGAATCGATAAATGTGTATGTATATATATAATTATATGCTTTGGCTATTATGATAATATTTCTCACCCTTCTGCTGTTTCATAATGCTCTATGAGGCATTGCAGATTAGGTTGCTGGAGGTCTTTTATGAAGTTTAACTTCATCCTTTTGGTCGATTATGCTCTGATATGTAGCACCGGGTAGTTAGGATTGTATAGTATTCTTTTGGGATACATTTGTGTATGTATCTGTTGGTAATATTTTGTAAACATGAATGATATTATGAACCAAACTGAATTATGTATCTAAATGATAACATGTCTTAAGTAATTCAATGTTTTAATCTTCCGTTTTAAATTCTAGATATAGAAGATGTGGGTGTAGGACTAAGTTCCTCTGTTGGACTACCCCACTGTTGCATGTCTTTTATAGAGCAGGTGTTGTATGTTATTTTGGTGAATGATGTGACATACTTCTTTTATACCATATTTTAATTACTCTGATGAAATTTATTATGTGCTTATGTGATTTAATTGTTTATTTGGGAGTATAAAAGGGGGTGTTACTTGCCACACTTATAACACTTTCCTGGAGCAGTAGCCGCTCCCCCACTTGACTTTTTCCCATCTGAGGCCTTCTGCTTCCCTTTATC